TCCCATGCTCCTGCCGCTTTGGGCTCCCCATTTCCCCGCCTCTGCTCTTCTTCTCAGTCACATGACCGACCAGCGTACACACGCACACCCACCCTCGCGCGCACTCAGCCCAGGGCCGACGGAGTCATGCGCCAAGGGCCCCCCCCCCCCTGCCCCCCCCCCCCCCCCCTCCGGCTCCCATTACCTCAGCCCTGCTGCCGTCTGCTCTAACCTTGGCTGCTGGGCTGAAGGAGAGAGAGAGTAATTCTAACCTTAAAAACCTGCTGATTAAAGCTACTTTTGAGGAATTCGATTCCGCTTAATGCTTCTGGCTCGTGGCCCAGCCTTTGGCATCGGCATCGACAGACACCGTGTCTTCAGTCAGGGAGATGCGCACAAGCCCCCCCCCCCCCCCAACCACCACAAGCTGGAGCAACACCCCCCACTCTATAACCCACCCCCCTACCCCACTTCCCTCCATCTTCTGTCCGCTCTCACGTTTGCTTGCTCGTGCCGCTTCCCTCGAATCCTGTCATCACCCCGGTCTCGCTCCTTTCATATCTCGCCCCCCCCCCACCCCACTCCTATCGCGGGTTATTGATTATTTTCCCAGAATACCTCACTCTCGGGTGCCCATTCCTTTACATTCAGGCTCCTGTCACTGCTGCTGAATGTGTCTGATGTGTGTACGCCATTTCCACGCGCTTCCTATTATAATGTGCTAATGTGACTTTTTTTTCCCTCAAAGTCAACGTCAGCATAAGCCTCATAACTGGCCCGCCCCTGACCCCCCCCCCCCCCCCCCGCCATAACTCCCCACAGAGAGATGAGCTGTCCGCACTCTCCAACCCCTCTAATACGCTGCCTTTTGTTTGTGACACTGCAGACTTCTGGAACTTTCCCAGCGACCGTGACTGGAGCGGTTTGTTCGCCTTGGCTTGAGGTCCAACGAAGGGGTGCACCTGGTCGTTTGGACAAGGTCGTTAACACTGTCCTGCCCCATGCCAAATTGGCAGCATACAAACAGGAATCGGGACAGAGGTGGAGGCAGTGAGCGGTTGCTATGGATTATGGGCCTTTAATGCTTTCAGATATCATACTCTCATTTGAAACTTTTACCACTGTTTGGTGAACAGATAAAACAGGGTGATGTTTCACGGTTGCGGTTCTGCCGCCGCGGCCGCCTCTGATCGCCCCCAAGTCACGCCGACGTTTCTAAATGCGTCTCTCGCATGTCCCTCCTGCTCCGGCGCCGCGGTCGGCCGCTCTCGCCTGCACGAACACGGAGCAGCCCTTCGCAGAATCAGAAATGAGCCCAACTGCTGACTACCTGTCTCGACGTATTAATCTTTGTGAGAGCTGTGGCACACCAATAGATAGGAGGTACTCCATCTAATTAGATTCCAGGGGACAGTGGGCTTGCTGGCAGTCTGCAAGATAATATAGGGGACTTAATTGATGTGCTGTGGTCTGAATGCTGAAGCCTTATTGTTCTGTACAAGGCGATCACCATAAAATGTATGCGGCTCGATCACAGCAACGAGAACAAGCGCTACATACAACTACATTAACACCTGCCCTGCTAATTAATCTCCGCTGGCTGTTTGTGTGTGTGAGGGTGAAGTGTATAATACCGAAGCCGCGGAACTGCAACTGCTTAAAACCGCACCTCATTATGATTTTATATTAAATAATATGAAGGTTCCCTCATCTTGAATGACCTTGATCTTAATATTACAACCACACCTCGCGGAGCTGTGGGTTCCTTGGTACAGTGTGGTGTTCAGTATGGACTAAGGTTACTTCCTATACCTGCGTATGGATGAATGTTGAGGAGCCTGAAATATGGGCAGAGGGTGCGGATGGTGGTTTAGGTTGTTCTTGGGGCGTCCCTGCCGCTGCACCCTGAGGAAGGTGGGGGGTTAGTGTGCCCAGGGGGTCTGCCCCGCCATGTAGCGCACCTGAACGCCAGTGAGGTTCTGATTTCCTCTCTTCCCTTGGCTTCTGGCTTTTTTCTCCAAGCTAATTTGAAACATTACAACATTAATTGCTGGTACGTCCACAAGTGCCCCTGGCCTCAATTTGTTTCCTATCAACCTGTAACACTGTTGCGAAATTTCTTCGTTAAATGGTTTGGGGCAACTGCTCTGCAAAGGGTGCTATAAAGAAATTAATTAAATTGAAAGTACTTAGCATGATTTGCTTCACTGAACGTTTTCAGCTGTATAAATGAGTAAAAAGTGTAAAAAAAAAAAGAAATCATCCATAGACGTGAAATTGTTGTAAACTTTAGGAATGAAATGTTACAAACTGTCAAAGCAACAACAACAACAAACAACAAATTTATTTTTGTATAGTGCATTATCACAACATTACATTGTCCCAAAGCGCTTTACAGCATCCCCACCCAAAGCCCCCAAAGCAGCCAAGTAATATCAGCAACTGCAGCAAGGTGAAAGAGGCAGGAAATGATGCGTGTTACCTACAGTGATTGGCTGGACTGACAGACAATCTCCCGCCTCCTGGGGTTAGCTGGCCAATGGCTGTGAGCGTTCTCTCATTGGCAAGTGTGGTGAGCCAGGTGATGGGTGCAGGAGAATGTTAGCCTGATTTTTCAGGCTTTGGGGTGTCCATCAGCTGGCCAGCCTTCTTCAGGGCCCGTATCCATGGACCGCCTAACCGGGGAGGGGGAGTAATTTTGGAGTGCAGTGATGAAGAATGAAAAAAATACCTATGAATGCTAATCGATAAAAAGCATATTTAATGAAACTCTCAATTATATCCACTTTTCTAAAAACAAAAGATTATATCAGGTTTTCAAGTGAACATGATTTTATGCGCCCCCCCCCCATTCAGATGCATTCCGTGGTTCATTCTGTACCTCCACCCCTACCCCGCTGCCTGTCAGTGTCAGAATTAGCTGGCTGTCTCCTGTGCGACATCCCATAATTCCTCATGTTCTTTTCGGAGATTTTGAATCCCTGTCTCGGTCTCCCCGGCGGTGGCACATAGGCAGGTTGATGTTTAATACATGCCAGATCTCTGTGTCGCTTAAAGCACGGTGGCTGCTATGTGCTGACGGCCCGACGACACAGCTGACCAAAGGCGTGTGGGGGGTGGGGGGTGGTGGAGGAACCCAGTCCTTCGGTGAACATGATTATCCTTTAACTGTGTCACGGCGTGACCGTCAATTCTGTCACATCGGCATGCTTCCTCAGGAATGCGTCAGGTGGGGGGATGTGGCCCGAATTGCGATGAGCTTTCTGTCTGCCGCAGCATGCATGCTCGTGTTTTGTCTCCTTTAGTCTGCGTGTTTGCATTGACTGCGTGTCGTCTGCCAAAAACACAGCAAGAAACGGCCACCTGTGTACATTAGTGTTCTGCCGCAGGTGTTGACAAGGTGCGTGAGTTTGCTCCACTGCGTGGTGGCATGTGCACATGTCTGTGCGCATGTCTGTGTGTGCCTGCAGACCCAGTGTCTTTCCCCGAAAGTGAGAGAGGCAGCAGAACGAGCCCCTGGTCTCCCATTTTCCCGCATGTGGGGGGAGGGGTTTACGCCGCAGACTAGCACTGTCTTGTCCCACTGAATAGCCAGAAAGCAGCTCCCGGCAAACAGACAAGCAATGTGATTGGCTGCTGACCTCTGATCATCACAGCCAATCGCAGGCCTTAGCACAGCCACACCTCTACGGAGAATCACAGGTTAACCTGAGGAAGACAGCTGGCACTGGTCCATGGGAGGCTCGCCGCTCTGGTCCATCCGCACCGCCCTGAAAGTCACACGGCATGTCGCCATAGCAACGGCGCCCATGCCCTATGAGCCGGACTTCCTGCGTTCTGTTAATTTTGCGGTGGGGGAGATTCGCAGTAGAACTTTGGCGATCCGCCTCCCCCCCCCCCCACTTGATATCTAAGCCTCTGACAGGGGAGGCCTCTTGATAACCGCTATCCTGTGCACGTTGCACGCTGAGACAGCAGCGAGAGCGTGCTTGGCACAGTGACGTTCTTGCACATTTTTACATGAGTGCCTTTGCAGGAGGTGCATGTCACGTCAGCGTGACGGTCAGTCTCCTGTCTGTTTACAGCGGCTGCACCGCTGAGTCGTCTGTAATGCGTGTTTGTTCTGAAATGTGTCCTTCACGGGCCGGGCTTTTTAACTGGCCTGGTTCAGACGTTGGTTGTCAGCAGGAGCCCAGCTTAGCAAAGTCCAGCCCCTGGATCTCATACACAGCTCAGTGTGTCTGTGTGCGTGTGTGTGCGTGTGTGTGTGCGTGTATGTGTGTGTGTACATATAGCCAAGCAGGATTGTGTGCCGTTTTTATTCCTGAAAGTGGGATACTCCTTCTCCCGGAAGAATTGCCTGTAGACCTGTTCTTCGATATCGCATCTAACAAATGTTTTTTTTTTCCCACCCTACAGCCAACTTGCAGAAAATCCCTGTGTATGTGGGACAGACACTTTCTCTAGCATTTAGCAGTGGTATGACATAAAATAAAAGGCCCCTTTTCCCCTGTTTTCCCTGAGCTGCACTTAATGTCTTGTGCATGAAGTATGAGGGGAGTCAAAGGTGAAACTAGGCTGGGGATGACAAACAGTACGGGGGGGGGGCTCAGCCCGTCCCTCTCTCTCAGATACCCTGGTCTTCTTTGGGCTGTGATTGGCCGAGCACAGAGGAATCTGGGTGACCCATTCTTGATAAAGGCGTTCACGGCGGGGGGGGGGTCAGGTGTACCGGTTGCAGTGAAGTAACACACCTGTACCGTCACGCTGCGAGTCTTCATCGAGGTGGGGGTGGGTCTCTGCCCATGCAGGTGTTAAATCAGCATGACCCCCCCCCCGGTGCCACTTTAAACGGCTGATGGATTATGTTTAAAGCAGCCCTTCCACCTGGAGGATCGTTAAAGTCCGTGTTTGTGGGGGGGGGCTCTAATGGCGTGCCTGGGAAGGCTTGTTAGTGCAGCAGCGAGGGCCCCTGATTGGCCGGTGTGGATGTCTAACCCCGCATCCCTTTGTCTCCACAGTGTCTCTATGGCTGCTACGTCCACTCCTCCATCATCCCCACTTTCCACCGCAGGTGCTACTGGCTGCTTCAGGTAAGACCCCCCCACTCTCCCCCCCCCCTCGCCGCCCCCCACCCTTACATAGCTGGCTTTCCAAGGCATATTCGCCTCCCGCAGTCTTCCGTGTCCACATAAACCGCGGTCACCGCCGCAGTAAAACGGAGCCCAGAACATTCCGTGGCCCGAGTTAATCTGCTTGCTGGCGAGTGACTGACAAGCGCCTAGGTCCGCTGATGATGTCATGCACCAGCAAAGCCTCCTGGCGGAGTCTGCTCCAAAATTCCCAGGTGTCTCTTTCAATGATGGGGGCCGTCGCTTCTCACCCCCGAACATCATGGGTGGGGGGACTGTGACTCTTTCCTCTCCGTAATTGTGTGAATCCGGAAAAACAGCCATTAACCATCACTGTTATCTGCCAGCACCAGCTTTGTTTTACGGTATGTAATACCTATTATGGTATGTTTACGTAATAGGATATATGTAATATGATATCGTTAAAATGCAAAGCCGCTCGACTTATTGCATTACCGGCCAGCCACCCAGGGCTACCACGGCCGTGGCTCTTCCGATTGGACAGGTGTGATGGGTGATAGGTGCTGATTGGTGGACGTGGAGGGAGGCGCGAATGAGAGGCCGTGGATGTAGCCCGTGGGCCACTTCACAGTGTCTCTGTCAGGTCCGTAATGAGACGGGAGAGACCAGGTAATGATGATCGCAACCTGTGTGTGCATCTGAGCTTCTGAGACACGACTCTCTCACTGGCTAATCGCCCCCCCCCCTCCCTACTCTTCACTGCCATTCGCCTTCTTCATCGTGCCCCGGGTTCAAAGACCCACGTCGTTAACGGAGAGCGGAATCGGAAAGGAACTAGGAAAGAAATCAATCGGATGGCAAATTGCCGTAATTGCAATTATAATTCCCATTCCCGAGAGGCGGAGCAGGCCGCCAACAGCGAGCCGACCTCACCAGCAAGGACTGCCTCTTCGTGGCTGTGTCACCCGCACCCCCCCCATTGTCGATAGTCAATTCAGTGGTTCCTTGTCGTCTTATTTAGTGCTAATCAAACATAATTCCTCCGCTCTCTGCCTTTAGCCGTGCTACACGCGCCCCGTGTTTGCCGTGTGCCCAGCAGGACCGTCACGCCGGCAATGATTGCGATATTAACGAGCTCTCAGGGCCTGGCGCAACTTCATTTGTCCTCCCCTTCACTGGAGTGGGGGTAGGGGGCCGCAGTGCCAGGGGCTCAGTTCTCCGCGTTGGCATTTCTTTACATGTCGGGGTGGGGGGGGGCTGTCTGAGCCAGCGTTTGATCTGATAATGTAACGCGGCACTGGGCCTCCGCCGCCGACTGATCGCGTTTCCACGTGCCGCCCTCTCGCCACTCCACAGCCTTCTGGAGCTCATTCCCAGCTCCCTGTCCGGCTCGCAGCTCTTCCGGGACAGCTGGCCATGTCTGTTTTGCCGGCATTTTTGGGGAAAAGTTTCAGTTCGCTGGCCACCCTTGGACCCCAGGGTTGGGGCAGCATTGCTTACCGGAATCAGAGGGATCTGGGAGGCTGCTCCGATGGCTGACATTCTGCGGCTATGCCCTAAAAAGGCAAGACGACGCATTTGGCCGGAGGCCTGCTGTGACCCGCCGGGCGGTGGAACATCTTCAGCAGGCCGCCGGTGTGGCCCCGCTGCGTCCCGGGCCCATGATCAAAGCCCAGTCCCGTCTGATCATCCCAGGAAAAACTCGCCGTTCCAGGGCGGCTTCTAGTTAACACCGGGCATCAGAAAGGAGGCGAGAGTTGTGTGATTGCAGCTCTAAAAGCGCCCCACACATGAAGAATGACTGCCCCCAGTGAAAAGTGAAGCAGTGCTTCTGGTGCAGCATGCCGTTTGTAGGTAGGTCAGGCTGAAGTCACCAAACAAAACGCTCAGCAATGCATTTCTACGGAGATGGACCCATTTATTTCTAATTGTGTCTAAATTGAATGTTAAATGATGTTTAGGCTTCATAAAAGGACAGTTTGAGCTGTCGGCTGTACACCTGTGATGGCAAGAAGTGACTCAGCATAAAACTAAAATGTACCAGACCTAAAAAGCCAGGGAACATTTGTAGGCGACACTTCTGTGTCAACAGAAAAGGAGTTTGAAGGTGAGAGGGCAGCGTGCAGGAGGGGGTGTGTGCTCATTCAAAGGCTGTTTGTTACGGTGAAACACCACAATTCTCATCATGTAATCAGCCATTTACAGTGAACCAGGGCAAACGATCCCCTCGATGGGAGGCCGCGTTGCTATGGAGATGTCTTTAGCTTCCGTCTAAGCTCCGTTCATTTGAGATTGTCATACAGGTCATTTTCTGCACCCCTCGTCATTATTGTGATGTAATACTGGGCTGTTACTTTTTCTTTTACGCATGTCGATCTGAGAAGCACAGATCAGTCTGCCGTGCAGTTACCCCACGTTCGTTATCCTGCTGCACTCTCAAACGGTCGTCTGCCACGTGCCACTTTGTTTTGTCGTTCGGGAGCAAAACGACACCTTTGTTTTGTTTTTTTTCCGTGCTCCTCAAGGTGAACGCTGGAACTGCACGGAGACGGAAGCGCACCCCGCTCCGGCCGTGATCCTCTGTGGTTTCTGAGCTCTACAGAGTCAGGAATACAAGCCATTTGGCTATTTCAGCAGAAACCCGCGCGCCAAAAGCCGGCTGGTGCCGGCCGCCCGTGAACCTTTGCTATAGAAACCCAATTTGTTCTCCTGTACACTCAATAACTAAACAACAAAAATCTCAAAAAGCGAGTGAGCCTTGAGATAAAAGAAAACTTCTTGTTTTTCCTTTTGGTTTCTGGCTGAAAAATACCTCCTCATCTTTAGCGCCGCCCTAGTGCCGGTGGTGCCCACTGCCTCCAGGCGTGAATAATTACTCCGGGCTCCAGGCCGATGTCTTGCCCATATCTAGATGACTGTCCGTTTATTTATTCAGATTTGTTTACTCAGACAATTGGCCACATAAAAACCATGTAACGGCTACAGAGGCCCTGGGTGGCTTCCCGCAGGCCGGCGTGATGTATATTTAACTCCCCTCGCTAAATCTTTAATGAGGCAAAATTCCATCACGCCGGATTAATTGCAGAGATGTGGCTGTAAAACCAGGGCCGTGGGCAGACCGTGTCAGTTTTGGTTTGCGAACCCCAGGCCAAGAAGGGGGCACAGGGGAGGAGTCACAGGTGGTTTGCTTTGCTGATAAACTGTGTGAAGTGGGAACTGTCTGTTTCATTTTTTTCCATCCTGTTCACTGTTCCCTTCCCCCCGCCCCAAAATGGCCGGAGCGCTTTTCACCCAGGGTGGGGTCTGACTATGGCGGTATAGCTTTGATGTGTGTGGCCCCTGTATGCCCCCCCCCCCACCCCATCTGCATGCCTGTGCCCTCATGCCCACTGCGGCCCTTGCAAACAAGGAGCTTCACAATTTTTGGCTGGGTTGGGGGGGATGCGGAAGTCAGAATGCAGTGGGTCCATCATGGGGCGTCATCCTCCCCCCCAGCCCCCACCTCGGCCATGTTTGGTGTTACAGCTGCCTGCTGCTGTCCGGCACCTTCTCTGCCAAACCCCCCAGGGCCGCGCACTGGAGCACGGGTTACTGAGGGAGCTGAAGCTGGGGGGTGCGGGGCTGCTAAATAATTCAGAGTTCCGGAAAGGTTAAAATGCAGAGGATAAGCAAAGCTGAACCCCCCCCCCTCGTTACCAAGCAAGCTGGGCTGACCCTGCTCACATCCGGAGTGTGGGGGAGAATGTACGATTATGCAGGGCCTGGCGCTCTGAAATGCAAACCTCCATTTTTAAAATGGGGGGTGGGGGGGGGTGGACATCCAGCTCCTTCCTTCAGGGAGCCATAGCAGTGTTGTGGAGAGCCTTAATAATCCCTTTAAAGGTGTTAAAGGACTAAGCCACCGACCCTTAATAATGTGCAGTTGACTAGTTTAACTGCTTGCTGGTGTATCGCTGTCTCAGGTGGGGCTTCTGGAGGGGGGGGTTAGTTACACAGCATCCCTGCTGCAGGTTCCCCGCGTTCTAACACGCTGGTGACAGGCAAGTTTACGTCAGTACTGCGTGGCAGCGGGCGGTCACCGCCTCTCCGTTTGGGCGCACGTCGGGCGAGGGAGGCTGTGCCGTCCTAATCGATCGTCTCAGGGTAATGTTTCCAGTCTCACTGCTCAGCTGCGTCCCTGGCGGGGGGGGGAGGTTGAATGGAGTTAAAGCCACGGGTAGTGTGTAATCTCCTTTAGAGAGCCGCTTTGATCAGAGCCTCGGCGTCCCAGGGGCCCGGTGGGGTTTTTGCTCTGCGGCCACCGGCGAGCGGTGACGTAGCCTTCCATGGGTCAGTCGGTCACGGTGGGCAAATCCCATCACCCTCCACTAGGGGGACCAGAGAGTTATCGTAGTGTTTTTGACAAACAGCTACGGGGACATGTGAGCGCACTCACTCGCCTACCCGCACATTGCCGGGACGGCCGCAAGGTCACCGTAGCACAACAGTCGCAACTAATGACCAAAACAGGCGCTTTTGTCCCATGCTGATTACTCATTAGAGCGCCAATTAGTGGAGTAACGCTTTAATGCCTTCATTAGAGAGTGGAATGGGGGGAATTAGCAGCAGTAGGAGCAGGAGGAGGAGGCGTGAGAGACGGGGCCCGGGTGGCTGAAGCGGGGGCTCTCCTCTTGAGTTGTGCGGGGCCAGTTTTCACGGCGACCCCCATTAACACCGCTGAGAAAGCGAACACCTCCAGCACTGAAGGTTCCAGCTCCTTCTCATGGGATTGAAACAGCCAGGGGGAAATCGATACCGTAAATCCCAGACCTGACCCCAAGCACACACCCCTCTGCTGCTGCATGCGGAAAGGGGGAGCGAAATTATTCAGGAAGAATCGGATGCTTCATAAATGCCAGAGAAGCCAGAGAATGACATCGTGTCGCTCTGACCTTGAGTATAAACTGTAATTTTTCTGGGGTCCTCTGCTTGCTGTTGGCCCAGCCTGCCGCATGTTGCGC